AGCACCGCCCCACGCCCCACGCCACAGGCGAATCGTCCCCACTCCTCTATGACTCGCCTAGCCTCAACGCCTCCCTGTGCGACTTGCCCACACATAAATAGTGACGGACCTTGCTTGGCGCACCACAATTATTACTTAATGTAACTCTGCTAAGATTAATTTGTCCTTTGTTTAATTAAAATCAAAATAACTTCAGGCTAATACGAGTTCCATCACGCCAATGCACTATCAATTCCAATCAATTTTAAAATTTATGCTCCTTCCAATAGTTTTCACGCATGTGGCATATAATTATTATTTTTATAAAACATTATAACTATTTCATGTGTTCCTATTTTAACAAAAAATATGTTCCACTAAAAATGTCAAATTAAATATTTTTTATGATCTTTAATATGACATCAATATACATCTATAAGATTTCTAAAAATTTGATCCGGGCGGTTTAAGTCTGATAAATGGCTAGTGAATTTGTATTTTAAAATTGTTCATGTCTAATTAGGTTCGACCTGATATGTTCTACTGTAATCTGATCTGGTTTTGTTTGTTTACATCTAGGCTGACTTGAGATAGAAATCGGTGCAATTGAAAACATTATAAATGTCATTTACAACTTCACATGTATGTCCATAAATATAAATGTATGACTTTAATGTGGAATCAGCGAGATGTTGATCGAGTTTTGAAAGGTTGACCTTCTCCCATGGAATAAGCTAAAGGAATAAAAATAGAAGACGATTTGTTCACTGGTGTTAAGGGTCCGTTTGGAAACACTGAAATCGGCTGAATCGACCTATGCTGCTGAAATTTATGATATTCTGGTTGAAGTAGTTGTATTGGTTGATTCTGCTGTATTTAAAACAGAGAAAAAAACAAATGAAAAAAAAAACTAAAATGGTCATCTATAGTAATTTCAACCAATAGAAAAGTAACTTAATCTTACCTTATCTTGTTATTACACAATTCAGAGTGTGAAAATCAAAAGTTACGTGTTTGATTAAAATGTTGTCTATAAACCTGATAACATTAATAAAATGTAGTCAAAGTAAATCATCTGAATAATGTAAAATTCAATATGTTGCACTTATTTAAAAACGAATGAAGTATATTTTAAAGATAGTTACTACATCCGTCCCAAAAAACTTTGTTATTTTCAAAACTTTGACCGACTCTATCTTTTTATTGAAAATTATTTATAATATAAAAAATATATGAAAATGTTCTTTGTTAAAAGTACTTTCATAAAAGTAAAATTTATAATTTCCATAATATTATACTAATCAAAATCAATGTTCAAATTTTTTGAAATGACAAAGTTTTTTGGGACGGAGATAGTATTTTTTAGAAGAAAAAAATTGAGACAAAATTTAGGGAAATGTGAAAACTTATCTTTTATTTTAAAATTTATAGAAGATACGGAAGTACATGAATAACAACTAAAAGAGGACAAATTTGTCAAAGTAAAATAGGTGTGCCTAGTACTTTTCAAGGTGCGCAAAGATGCTCGGATAGTCATACTACCTCGGTCTCGGAGGACTTTGCTAAGTGTAAAGTAGGTGAGAAGTAAGAATAGTAAAAACTGTGTGGTTGAGATTTGTGCAGAGGAGAGAGAAATGTGCAGAACCACAAATTAGTTGCTTTAATAGGAAAATGGCAAAAAAAATTGGACAAACAAAAAAGGAAAGTTGGCAAAGTCCAATGGGACGGAGGAAGTATTTTTCCCCATCAAAACTCCATAAATGATACTACCTCCGTCCCTTAAAACTTTGCCAAAGTTGACCGGTACGGAGAATAATAAAGTAAAAACTGTGTCGTTGAGGTTTGTGCAGAGGAGAGAGAAATAACAGAAACCACAAAATAATTGATTAAAAGAGAAAGTGGTAAAGTTTTTTGGGACGCCTCAAAAAGGAAAGATGACAAAGTTTTAATGGACGGAGGGAGTACTTTTTATGTCCTATAAAATAGTTCTCGCATCGACTTGGATCGAAGTTTATGAAAGTGAGAATAAAGTGATAATTTATGGTTATAGTTGAGTAAGAAAAAAGTAAATGAATGTGAGCCACACAAAACTTTCCAAAAAAAGAAACTGAAAGTATTTTTTGGGAATGCCCAAAAAGAACACCGGGAACTATTTTGCGGGACGGAGAGTGTGTACTTCACATTTCTATTTTTGGCAACTTTTTAATATAAAGCTACTCTGGACTTATTTTATATAAAGTACCTACTTTGCACCAACTTTCACTCTCTCATTACACTTTATCTACTTTTTGGGGTGCATAATGAGAAAGTCAAAACAAAAAAAATCATTTTCTTAAAAACCGTGAAGTCAAAAATGAAATTCTCTTGGGACAAAAATTCTTATAGAAATTATCACACACGTTTGTAAGTGGTTATTAGTTTGCGAGTGAATAACTTCTTCACAAATAAAATAAATAATTGCTCATAGACGTTTGTAAGTGGCATGTACAAAAAAATCTTATTGGGATTGTTGTTACTAAAACACATAGTGATACAAAGTAACTATTGTCCTATATTTTCATTCTGTAAAATTAAATTTTCTTAAGGTGATACAATAACGATTAAAGACTCATTATTCAACGTTCTTGTAGTGACTGCAATTAGACCACCAAATAGTGACCACCCGAACAGTGACTAGCTGACTGCCGCCATCACCCGAATAACTACTGTCATCGTTGCCCATCCAGTGATTGTCGTCGTCATGTCCAGTGACTACCACCGTCACCCCGATCAGCAGCCGCCGCCATCCCGGTCACTGACTGCCGCCACCACCGCACCAATTAGTGACTGCCACCATCTTCGGCCAGTGACTGTCGCCGCACCCTCGACCAATGTCTCCCCCCCCCTATTGACTGCCCCTGGCCAGTGATTGTCGCCGCCCCCACCCCACTACACCCCCAGTCACTGCCAGTCCCATTACAGTGACTCCGCCACCACCACAGTGACGCCACACCACCCAATTGCCGTCGGCGGCGCGGCTCCACACCTGCCCGTTCCCCGCCACAGTCACAGCCACATTTATGGTCAACCAACGACCCCCCTCCAGCCACCCAATCAATGCCGCACATCAACTCCGACCAACCTAACCAGCCCCAATCCACTTTTCTCAGCGACTCGGCCTAAGCCCTCCACCGTCCGACCCAAACCAACCAGATCAGATATAGCCGTCTGCAACCAAATCAGACCAGAAGTCGTTGCCATGGAGATGTCGTCATCTTCGTTGACATAGATATAGTTATTTCAACATCGACGAAGAAGAAAGGAGAAGGGACCACATCGGAGATGATAGCAAAGCAGCAACTGTGTAATTTTGATAAGCAGAAGGACCCGAAGACCGGGATGTGGTACGTAACTTGCAAATGATGCGGGAAAAAATGTAGCATGGGAATTTCAGGCGGATACGGGATGGCAATGAAGCATATTAAGTCATGTGACAAAGCCAAAGGATCGGGAGGTGGGGGAAGTTCCGATTGATTACAATTTACAAAATGTTTGTCTCTTGAAGTTTGTTTTAATTTTCAAATGTAGTTCCTATTTCATTTCAAATAAATGCACTTGAAGTTTGTTTTTAATACTTATATAAAACTATAAAGTATAAAATATAAATTATAAAAAAAATACTTTAACCGGCCCAGCACGGCCCGGTGGGTGACCCGACCCTTGACCCGGGCGGGTGGCCCGGTCCGAATCGGACCCGTCCAACCCTCGGGCCGGACCCGGGCCCATGTGATACAAACCGGCAGCCCGACCGGGCCTAGGCCCGGCCCGAGTCCATGATAAGCGCATAGGAGCTTCATCCGATCTCGAGGGGAAGACGATGATCTGGGAGAAAACATGAAGCTTTGTCCAATCCTTGACAAATCTAACAACACGATGGAGCACAAGGAAGAGGAGCTGCACCTAGGCTTGGACTCGGGTCGGCCACCCGGCCCGTGGACCGGCCCGGCCCGCTACTGTGCGGGACCGGGACCGGCCCGATTCTCGGGTCCGGGTCCGGGTCGGGCCTAGGCCCGGGGGTAGGGCGGGTCCGGGCTCGGGTCTCAATTTTGGTGAACCGGCCCGGGCCAAATTGAATTTTTTTTATTTTTTTTTCATTTTTGGGGTTCCACCCGGGTTGAGCTTGATGGGTAGGATGGGTTTGGGGGTGTTTGGGAGGGTGGGGGTTGAGGGGGGGGGGGGGGGGGGGGGGGGGGGGTTAGGAAAGCAAAAAAAAAAAAAAAAAAATCCAAACCGGAGGTCCGGCCCGGCCCGGACCCGGACCGGACCCGGTGGGTACCCGGGCCGGTCCCGGGTCCACCATTCTTGAACCGCCGGCCCGCCCGGGCCTAGGCCTAACCCGGACCCGAGTCCAACCCTAGCTGCACCATGGAGCACAAGGAAGAGGAGCTGTTCTGATAGGAATAGTGTTGGACTCGGGTCCGGGCCGGGGGGTCAAAAATGGTGGACCCGGGACCGGCCCGGGTAACCACCGGGCCAGGCCGGGCCGGGTAACCACCGGGCCAGGCCGGGCCGGGTAACCACCGGGCCGGGCCGGGCCGGGCCCATTATAATTTTTTTTTTTGTTTTCCTCTTCCTAAGTAACCCCCACCCCCAACCCCCAAACCACCCCAAATGGCCCAAAATACCCAGCCCAACCCAAAACTTTAAAAAAAATTGCAAAAAAAAAATTGTTTTTGGCCCGATCCGGGCCCGGCCGGGTCGGGCCTTGTTTTGGGTGACCCGAGCCCGGACCGGAAAACCCACGGGCCGGGCCTACCCGGACCGGTCACTGACCGGGCCACCGGGTCGGGCCGGTCCGGAACAGTACCGGTCCCGGGCCGGTTCCGGGTCGGGCCACCCGGCCCGAGTCCATACCTAGATAGGAAGATAACGGATCTGGCCATCTGAGAGAAGCCCTTCGACAGAGCGCAAAGAAGTCTAGCACAAAAAGGAGGCGAATGATTTGTTTTAATCTCATTTTTGTCCAAATCAAATTTCATCATATTTTTGTCCATTAAGAGTTGAGAAGTAATATTTGTGCCATAGTAGTTCTACATCAAAATCCAAATGCCTAGAATTTATTGTAGCACATCTTACTCCACATATTGTTTGAGATTAGAAGCCATCACATTGAATATAATCACAAATATTTTTGGTTGAAAAGAGTGCTATTGAAAAGCATGTTTGTAAAATATACATTGTTACGGGAAGAGATAAATAAACGAAGTGCATCACAAACTTTTGAGCAGATGGTAGCAATTAGTTATCAACTTTGTCGTGAATCCCACTAGGCCACGTTTGATTTTTCACTTTTTTAAGAATGTGTGAAATCTCAGATAGGGTTTCTTCTTCCTTTCCAGATGTCGCAGCTGCTACATTTTCTTCAACCTGCTATCCACCCACATTCCAACAATATATGATTAGTTTACACTTAACATTGTGTTGGTTGGTTTTGGTTATAGAACAACAGAATATTTAGAAAGTTTAGTATGAAAAACATAGGCTTCTTACGACATGAAGGTGTGATATCCGTGGGCATCCCAACTCTGATTTGATCTAATTTTGCTTAATTAAATTCATTTCATCTTCTGCTAAGTGGTAACACAATTTCCATTAGCTTCACTCCAAACGCAGCCATTGTATTTATACAAATAGGCTCGCTAATCATGTCATTTTTATTACAACTAAGGGTACGCACACAAATTACAATTTTAAGCAAGACATCCATTTTCTTGCATATGCATCTTCACAGTAATACACCAATATATTCACTCGCTAATCATGTCATTTTTATTACAACTAAGGGTACGCACACAAATTACAATTTTAAGCAAGACATCCATTTTCTTGCATATGCATCTTCACAGTAATACACCAATATATTCACTCGAAAGCATCAATTTTTATTGTCACACCATATCTTTTATGTACACTACACAATCCATGAATAAAGATGAGCTCATTCCACATTCTTTCAATAACATGTTTAGTAAGGTTGTAATTGGAGTGCAGAAACATGGTATTGAAAGGGGAAAATGACGCTAATAAAAATATTTTTATGTTTGGTTTTGTCTTGGAAATATGGAGGAAAATAAAATTTGGTTAAACTCTTAGAACTTTACATATATTTATAATTCTTAGTATCTATATAAATGGATACACACAAAAACGATTTATTGAATTTGAACCATCATTTTATTTTTATCCAGATCGTTTCTTCCAATTTTCCCTCTATTTTTATCTGTGTTTTCTTCAGGTGAAATTTATGTTTGGAAAGTGAAAAAGTTTGGGGAAGAAAATATATAGAACAATATATGAGAAATTCGGAAAGAAAGAAAATGTTGAGGAAAATGAAACATTGGTTTAAAGCCGAATGAGATTATGAAGCGTGTCTTATTTTTCCCATCACACTTTTCCCTTGTATTTTCCAGATGAAAAAAGGCAGATGAGATAGTGAATTTGTTTCAAGAATTGAAGTGAATCAGTCAAGGTCAAAGAAGAAGTGTTACCTGTTTAACTGACATTATTCCAACCAGTGTTGTGGAAATATCTTTATTAGACAAGCTGTATTGAATAGCTATCTTTGAGATGTTTTCCCCCTTTCCTTTGCAATAAGAAGCAGCAGCTCGACATGCATCCTGAAAAAGTAAACCATAAAATGAAGACTTGACACACACACAAAATGAAAAAACTAAATTAAAAAAAGAAGTTAAATAATAAAAACCTTTAGTTCAAGCGAAGCAGGATGCCACTCCGGAGGTCCAGCCTCAGTAAGAAGCCCCATTGCGAGAGGAGAAGCATTGATCACACCCACACCCTTGCTCTTCAAGTAAGGCAAGAGGTCCTCTAATGTTGAATCATTAATACTGTAGTGGCAATATGAAAGAATTACGTCCACAGTACCTGGTGGAACTCGATCAAGCACATAAGTAAAAATCCACAACGGAAGTCCAGTTATACCAATGAAACGAACTTTCCCGGATTCCTTTAATTTCACAAGGGCAGGAATTGTCTGATTCACAATCTGGAGGTTCAAGATACAAAGAGAGAAAATATGAATTTCGCATAACAGAAATATATATGTAATAATATTCAATGTTCTTATGTTATTTTCATTTTTTATTTTTTTATGTTCTTTATCTCTTTTCTCTTTTCTCTATCTTATGTAAGTTATGTTCTTATGTTATTTTTATCTTATCCATTTTATCTTACCTTGTCTTTTTTTATTTTTATTTTCTTTCATTTTCTTATTTTTCTTTTCTTTTTTGCTATGATATCAAGAATCTATTCATGTTAGCCGACCCCAAAATCTTTTGGGAATAAGGCTTGGATGTTGTCATGTGTTGTTGTTGTACCCATCAACTCATCAAGGGACATTTGTAGATTTGTCCTACTCCTACGAACTCAACCATTATACACAGTACTCTTCACCCCCCCCCCCCCCCCCAAAAAAAAGCCCTATTTAAACAACCTTTTTGTTTCTTAAAAAAGAGCCCCTGCATTAAACGTCAACAACTTTCATTTTGTAACTAAATCATGCAAAGCCAAACAACGAGCAGTTTAAGTCAATCACTACAAAGTACAAACAATGGTTGAAATAACTCTTAGGGGTATAAGAGACAGGTCATGATTTATTGTACCTTGATTGAGTTGACTAAAACTAAATGGTTGTACCTTCCTCAATTAGGTAAATAACTCTTTGTTTGGGATGGAGGAAGTATAATGCAAGATGGGAAATTTTAGATCGTAGCTCTTATGAAGACTAATCTCAATGTAAAAAAGAATGGTTCAGAATATCTAATTCAAAATACGATATTTATGAGTCTATGCACAAGTGTAATACCAGTTAATATCTAACTCTTAATTGAAACACTAAAAAATCCATGAAGTAGATAAATGTGGTAGTAGTTCATCAAATGCTACTCCTGTAGAAGCTGATAAACAGAAAAAATATGAGAAGACATTTAAAAAAAAGAGTACCTGATCAAGAGATCCAAATTCAATGTCATGACAATTTAGTATATCAACATAATCAAGCTGGAGCCTCTCCAAACTCTCATCAATACTCTGAGTAACTCTTTCAGCACTAAAATCAAAGCCTTCCTTGTATCTCCCGCACTTCGTGGATACAATGTAATCATCTCTAGGTACTCCTAATGCCTTCAGAGCCTTCCCAAGTACCTTTTCTGATAATGTTCCTCCATAGTACCTAAAAAGTATCAGCAAACTAATAAATGATCCAGAAACTCCAGAATCTCAACCTAGGTGAAGGTACACATGACCAGCAAAGGAAGAAGAAATTCACAAACAGAAACAACAATAAGCTATTAAAAAACGAAATCTAGCAGAAAGATGACAAAATCAAGGAAGATAAATGCATACGGAGAGGTGTCGAAGAAATTGATTCCAAGATGAAAGGCATGGCGGACAGCGGAGAAAGCTTCTTCTTCGGACACATTCCCAAAAACATTGCCAAGTGGAGAGGCTCCAAAGCCCAGGGAGCTAACATTCAAGCCCGTACTGCCCAATGGTCTGAGTTCTAACCCGCCAGATGCTTGAGTACACATTTTGGTGTCTGGGGATTTAGTGTATTGCTCCTACCAATTGGCTTCAGATTCTAATTTCCTGGAAAAAAATAGTCAACTCAGACAACTTGCACTGCACCATCCTCTGAACTAGCTTCACCCCCACGGCGTTTAGTAAAACATAATCAATTTTGAGCTCAAGTGCATGCAAAAAACACTATTTGAATAACTATTATGTCAATTTAAGTGAATTTAGTAATAGAGGGTTGTTCAGATAGGGTCTTGACTAACTCAAACATTCTGACAAAGAGTTTGATATATCATATTTGTGAATAGATAAATTCACAAATATATCATATTTGTGAATAGATAAATTCACAAATATATAATCAAAGAATACTGCATTTACACAAGTTCAAATATATAATCCAATAAAATAGGAAAAAATAATAAAAATACCCCAAACTTTGAAGGGGTGTGAGATAAACACCCCAAACTTGCATATGTAATTTAAATACCCCAAACTTTATATAAAAAGTTATTTTCACACCATTGTCATATATTATTTCTTTCAAAAATGTAAAGTAATGGGGTTAATTGCATAATTTAAAATAGCAAATTAAAAGTGTTGCAATTATATAAATTGGGGGTAACATTATTTATTTCTCAATGGAAGTTAAGAATGTTAGTTGTGTCTTCATGAATTCTAAAATATTTTAAATCATGCAATTAACACTATAAATTTATATTTTTGAAAGAAATAATACTTGACTATGGTGCTAAATTAACTTTTTATATAAAGTTTGGGATATTTAAATTGCATATGCAAGTTTGGGGTGTTCACCTCACACCCCTTCAAAGTTTGGAGTATTTTACTCCCTCCGGTCCTAAATAAACTTCATAGTTTGACTTTACGGTTTTTAAGAAAGTGGAATTTTTACTTTTGACTTTCTCATCATGCCCCTACAAAAAGGTGATAAAGTGTAGTGGGAGAGAGAATGTGGGTGTAAAGTAGGTAATAAAGCAAGGGTATAGGGGTAACTTTATGTTAAAAACTTGCCAAAAATAGAAGTGTGAAGTTTATTTTAGACCTACCCAAAAAGGAAAGTGTGAAGTTTATTTAGGACCGGAGGGAGTAATTATTTTTCCCAATAAAATATCATCCAACTATATAAATTACCTTTAATGCATTACTAAGTTGTTTGAAAGAAACACACAATAACATCATTACATTTTTAGAAAAACTCTTCGAATTTGGAGCAAAATTGTTTGAAAGGTGTTACTTTTTATTTCTTGCAATGAGATGATTGTGTTTAACATAAACCCTTCTATGACTAAAATAAATAAGTTTTAAGAGATGACTACAAAAAACTACCCGACATAATTTATATTTAAAACTACATAATCTAATGGCAATGTTTTTTAGAAATAAGAATAGAAATTGCTCAATATAGTACTAAAACATAAACAAGTTCTAAAATAATACCAATTATGTTTTCTTCCCTAAATAGGACTTATTTAATCCTATTAAATGAATAAGTTGATTAAAACTACCCAAAATAGGAGTGAATGAGTCATATTTTGGGATTTAAACAGCAGTGGTCCAATTTATGAACTTTATCCTTGTTTTAATCATATTTAAGGAATTTTCTCAAATAAAAATTGCTCAGTACAACTACTGCTAGCATCGGTCGTGGTGGTTGCGACAACAGCATAAGAATTACTTGTATTTTGGTTGTTCGAAATTAATTTAAAATATATAGTAGAGTTTTGGGTGATCTAATAATTTAATAGACTACAGTAGAAATTTGACAAACAAATCCTTGCTAATGTATGACTCTTTTCAAGTTTTCAACTAAAAAACTTCTGCAACTATTTCAAATAGTAGTATAAACAAATAAGTACCCTAGAATTTCTTATATGAACTTACCAGTAAAAATATGCTATATGTATATGACTAATACGTAGTATGAGTGTACTTGTATGTGAAAAAAAGAACAACCCGCAACCGAGATGCCAACAAAAGAAAAAATAAAGTTACATCTCATGCTGTCATACATGTGGAAAAGCTTAACTCCATTCTTAGTAAAATCCAGAAATATATTGTTCGCTCAACAGATTCTTTGCCAAACCTTAACATGTTTCACTGCACGTATGTAAAACGAGATGAAATGGATGTATAGGCAAACAGTGGGTCGGATTCCCCAAAACAACAACCAAAACAAACACAGCGGAAATTTTTTTCTCTGCTGAGGTATTTAAAATAAAACAAATAAATAGCATTGTACAGATCCAGCAAGAATGATGTCAGTGAAAACATTGAAAGGTAAACTTCAAACGGGAAAGGGAAAAGAAAGATCTCCTAAGAACAGTAGCGATGGAAAAAAACCTGGCAAGCAAATACATAATGGAGACTTGATAAAAAATCGAAACTTATTGAGCAAACAGCATTACAACATCCATCCTCATTCACACAAATTAAGCAAAAAGCAATATAATTTCAGATTAGGTTCAAGAAAATTAGATTAAAACTAAGAAAGGCTGAGTGCATGAGGATGCTGTAATCACTAATCACAGTAATCAGGTATGTAGGAGAAATTTAGCACTACCTACCTCGAATTGTCTGCTAGGAGTCCAAGGCGCGAGGTGAGGATAGATGACTCGGTCCGTTCAACCGTGCTGGGCAGTTGGAGCTCGACTGGCTATGAAAAAGGTGGAGAGGTTCCGACTCGCGAGGAGCCGAGGAAGGAACGCCTAGTGAAGGAGAGTCTTGGGTCGGAGATGAAACGACTCTTTGTTAAAGATTACGTAGAATTACGGATTCCTGAGAGTAAAAAGCCGAAGACAAAAATTAGGAGAGGTAAGGCTTTGGTTACACTTGGTCGAAAAGGTGGAATGTCCAACACTAAGCCCCACACCTACGTGTGAGAAAGGTGGGGAGGTTAATCAGGTCGATTCACTCAACAAAGCGGCGGTGGTAGGCTTTATACACGTGCACACCAGAGGTAGAACTTTATTTCAGGTTCTGTAACCTCCACACAACCGTTGCGGGTTTCGAACCTTGGTCACTTGGTCCAATTTTCCGACCATTCAACCAACTGAGCTACCCGTGCAGGTGGCTTTGGTTACACAATTATTAATAAAATGACCGAAAAGAATAAAGAAAAATTAGAAATAAGAATCACAACCATGGTTGATTCCCTACCAATAACTTCAACTATCAATCAACTCCCTTTGGCCCTTAAAAATTTGTCATGTTTAACCGGCAGAGGATTAATAAAGTAGAAATTGTGTGGTTGATGTTTATGTAGAGGAGAAAGAATTAACTCGAACCACAAATTCTTTACCTAAAATGAAAAGTGACAAAATTAGTAGGACATTCAAAAAAGGAAAGTTAGCAAAATTTAAAGGGACGGAGGGAGTATTTTTGTATAATTCCAATTATATGGATCGTCAGCTAATAATGATCCATGACTCGGTATTACTTCTATAACATGTCAATTTTTAAATAGAAACTAAACGTATTCTATAAATAATCTGAACTATGTTTGTTCTTCTTTTAATAATTCCAATCATCAACTCATTTTTTTTTCAAAAAGTAGAAAAATATAATACATTTGTCCCAAAAAACTTTATCATTTTCAAAACTTTGACCAACTATATCTTTTTATTGAAAATCATACTCTGTATATATTATAAAAATGATAAGAAAATGTTCTTTGTTAAAAGTCCTTTAGTAAAAGTATAACTTTTTAAACTTTCGTATTATTATACTAATCAAAATCACGGTTCAAATTTTTTGAAATGACAAATATTTTTTGAACAAAGGTAGTATTTAAATTTCAAATTTTGAATTTTATAAATGAAAGTTTAACTAAATATAAAAATGTATTGTGTTTTAGAAATAAAAAATGTTACATTTTATTTTTTATTTTCAGAAAATAAATTGATATATAATCTTTTTGGATTCTTTTACAATCTCATGATTTATATTGATTTTTAACTAATTTAAAATGATTTAATATTTTAGGATGATTAGCTTTTAAATTTTTTATATTTTGAAAATAAGTATTACTCCCTCCGTTCTCCAATACATGTCTCCCTTTCCATTTTGGGATGTTCTCCAATACGTGTTTTCCTTTTCATTTTTAGAAAGTTTTTTCAATAAATGTACATATATACTCTCATTCTCTTTCTTACTTTTTCATTCTCTTTTCCTATTTTTTTAATTTAAACACAAATCACTACACTTTTTATCTTACCCCTTTTAATTTCTTCTTAAATCTTGTGCCAAAGCCTATAGAGCCACCTATTGGAGAACGGTGGGAGTAGTATTTTTATCTTTTTCACATTCTTAATTTTGAAAATCATGGTTTTAATTTTTTAATAAGAATTTGTAATTAGTTTTAATTTCATTTTTCCTTTAAGATTTTTATATTGACCTTTTTATTCCCCTACTTTATATATTTAAAATATTTTACATGTTATGAAATTTTAATTTTGAAATTCATATAAGTTTTTTCATATTCTATAATTCTATATTTTATATTCTTTAATTATACAAACTATCTAAAAAAGTTAATTAATAAAAGTAAAATTTTATAACCTTTTTTACCCTTTTCTATTTATTTATGCAAATTTTAATTTAATTTTTTTGGTTCAATAGAGTCGATTTTTTAATTGACTGAACAGGTAATCGGTCACGACAGACTATTATTGGCAGAAGGTTCATAAAATTGAGATTATTCTGAAATAATCAATAGTTGAGATTATTATGAGCGGACCACTAATAATTGGGATTATTACTATAAATTTTTCCAAAAAATAAAAATTGTGGTTGTGATTTAGGTATAAATGTATAATAAAGTGAAATCCTGTAGATCACATATTTATTTGGAAAAATTCCATTAATTTTAATATTTAAAATGTGGCAGACAAAAATATTACTTAGTAATTATCGGTGTCAATAATAGTGTTCAAAATTTATATCATAGTAACTTACATGTAGTTACTACGATATAAATTTGAACACAACTATAGTTACTAATAGTTACTTAGAAATGTTTTCAAAAAAAAAGTTAGAAATATTTTTCCATAACTTTTTTATTATTTAAAAAAAGACATATTTCTTTTAAAAAAAAAATGACATTTATTGGGACAACTCAAAAATATTAATGTCTAAAGATCAGCCGCCATTTTTAAATGTCTCAACTTGTATCCATATATCATTTAACTATTTAACCTCCCAAAATTTCAAACTTGTTTCACTCCGACTTTAATGGAGCCCAAGAGCAAAGGCAAAAAAGTAAAAAAGTACTCCGTAGTTAGGGTTGGACTCGGGTCCGGGCCGGGTCCGAGTCGGGCCTAGGCCCGGGCGGGCCGGCGGGTCAGAAATGGTGGACCCGGGACCGGCCCGGGTAACCACCGGGTCCGGTCCGGGTCCAGGCCGGGCCGGGCCGGGCCCATTATAATTTTTTTTTGTTTTCCTCTTCCTAAATAACCCCCCCCCACCCCCAACCCCCAAACCACCCCAAATGGCCCAAAATACCCAGCCCAACCCAAAACTTTAAAAAAAATTGCAAAAAAAAAAAAATTGTTTTTGGCCCGGCCGGGTCGGGCCTTGTTTTGGGTGACCCGAGCCCGGACCGGAAAACCCACGGGCCGGGCCTACCCGGACCGGTCACTGACCGGGCCTACCCGGACCGGTCACTGACCGGGCCACCGGGTCGGGCCGGGCCGGAACAGTACCGGTCCCGGGCCGGTTCCGGGTCAGGCCACCCGGCCCGAGTCCATACCTATCCGTAGTTACTAGTACATACATATTTTCTCTTTTGGTGCCTATAAAAGCTAAAAACAATCCATTTAATCTTAATGAAAATGAAGAACAAATCTTGATTAAGTTTTTAGTTCTTGCCGATAAAAACTTATTAAGTTTATACTATTTAGTTTCTCAAAATTCCAAATTGAAAAGAGCTCTACTTTCTCATAAATGATAAGACTGGCTCCAAGATGTGCTATTTTTCTTTAAATAAGACTGGAATATTGCTGCCCTCAAATTACCTTGTTTTTACACCTATTGAGAAACTTCCCGTTTTTAAACAATGCTGTCAATGCGCATGTTATTTGAATTCCAAGACTAACAGGCAAAGTTGACTCATAGGCGCAATGACGTACAGCTCGGTCAAGCTTAAACAATGAAGCAATGTACCTAAAAATAAAACAAATCCTGGGAAAAGAGAGCAATTGGTAGAAGAGTTGTAGTTGTCACTTGTATAGCTGCTTGAATCTCCGGCAGGCTTCCAAAACATTCTCTCTGTGTCCAAAGGCACTAACCCTAACAAAACCTTCTCCGGCCGGTCCAAACCCACTTCCAGGGGTGGTCACAACATGAGTCTTCTCAAGAATCTCGCCAAACACCTCCCACGAGCTCCGACCTGGGAAATGGACCCACACGTATGGTGCATTCTTTCCTCCATACACCTTAAACCCCAGTGAAGTAAATGTCTCCATTATGATATTCGTGTTCTCTTTGTAATAGCTAACTGTTTCCAACATTGCCTGCACACATTATGCAAAAAGATACACGTGGTAAAAAATGCTCAAATGTGCCGCCACATCATGTACTATAGTCTATACAACTTACCTCAAACCCTTCTGGCGAAAGGCATGCAAGACCCCCAGATTGTGCAATATTTGATGCGCCATTAAAGCATGTACAGACAATGCGATTGAAATCCTTGGCCACGGGGAATCCATCAGAAAAAAGGAGGGTTTTTGGAACGACGGTCCAACCTAAGCGGACGCCAGTGAAGCCAGCATACTTGGAAAACGAGGACACCTCAATGGCAACCTGAAGGTCAGCTACAATATTAATAAGAGGGTTTCCAGGCAGGCAGTTCGGATCATGTGTGTCACACAGGTGTACCACGTGATGTGTCACTTCACTAATTGGGGTTAACTACATTTTCTCCCCCTAGGTTTGGTCAAACTACCAGAATACCCCTGAGGTTTCTGAAAATTACAAATGAACACCCCTTTGTGAAGTCAAACTTTCCATAAATGACAACAAAAGATGATAGTGTATAATCATCATACTAGTAGGAGTCAAGTGTTCTAGGACTAAATTAATCTCAATATTTCTCTAAATTATTACTCCCTTGGTCCCATAAAACTTGATAAATATTGACTTGCATGTAGAGCTATAAAGTAAAAGCTCTGTGGTTGAGATATGTGTAGAAGAGAAAGAAATAACGTTGACCACAAATTTGTTACTTCAAAAGGAAATGACAAAGTTTTTTGGGATGACTAGATAAGGAAAGTTGGCAATTTTAATGGGACGGAGAGTACTTATTTTAAAACCTGTGAACATTTTGTTAATCATATCCAATAAAAATAAACACAATATTCATAAACAATTAAATCCTGATAAAATTATTATATCTTAGAATCTTACCAATTACCATATTCGGTATTTAAGGTGTCATTCTCGGGATATTGACTAATACAAGAGTTTGAAATTTAAAGAGACCTGGGGAATAATTTGATCAATACTTGGAGGGGGTGCAATTAACCCTAACTACTTAAGCTACAGGTAGACAATAGAAAATTAAAAAATAAACTACATATATACAGGGAGTATTTATTTTATAGAATCACTCATTCATGATAATACTTTTATCAGTTTATGTAAGTTGTTTACGTAAATACAAAAATTACATAAATAATTTTCAAACATTTTACAAAACATTAAAATATAAATGTTGGGTTGTTTCCAAAATAAAGTTTTCATTGTTAAAATGTATACTTGTAGCTTATATAAATAAGTGACATTCCACAGTGGGGCATTGTATGTTTTGACATTACCTCTTTGGCTCCTGGAATCTCAAATATGGATTTTGGGCTTTCATCTGATATATACATTGCATATGCAGAATCATAGACTAAGATTGACCCATTGTTCTTAGCAAATTGTACCAATTTGGTTAGCTGATCCCTTGATGCGGTTGAACCAGTTGGGTTATTAGGTGAGCAGAAAAATATGATATCTGCCCGAGGAACAGATGATAGGTTGGGGAAAAATCCATTTTCTGGTGTACATTTCATGTAAACAATATTCCCATACTTCTCAACATCTTTTTGGTACTGCCCAGTTTGGCCCAATATCACACTCGAATCCACATAAGCCTACAATGAAAAAGGAACAATTAAAAACTTTATATTGAACTGTAAACCTGCTCCTCTTCACAACCTGATGATGAAACACAATGAAATAAAACACCAATGAAACAGCACAACTCCATAACTGTTAGAGAAACCTAGAGGCATATTTGGGATATCTTATTGTGCAAGTGCTTTTATAACAATTGCTTTCTCGTTTAAGCACTTGCACACCAATCTGTTGCTTTCTTAAATAAGCATAAAATGTCTTTTTATCTCACAAAACATTTTTTTCTGTTTTCCTGCCTAACGTTTTTTTGAAGCAAAAGTATTTTTGTTCCTCAGAATTCCTTGAAAGTAAGTCATCCCAAATACTTTCTTTAAAAATTTACCGGGTATGATGGGTCTTGCACAGCCATGATCACATTAGATCCAAAAAGAACCTGAATGGGAGAGAAATGTATGCATTATACACAAGCATTATGCACTTTATTAGACAAGCAGTTAACAAGAGACAAAAAAGTCAAACCTGAAGGCGTGATATATCACTTTTAGCACCATCTGACACAAAAATATCATCATCCTCTATGTCAAGATTTGAGTAAAAAGTTGAAGCTATTGAAGATCTCAATTTCTGTTCAACAACGCACAGATAAATATAAGACATTTCTTAAAAGAAACAAAACTGTAGTCAAACTTCTATCACTACTGAATGAGTGGTAGATAACTATACTCCGATCGTCCTTATTTATCTGTCTTCATTGACCAAACAAAATGGTTTAAGAAAGTGCATATGAGTGATAAGTTGATCAAAACTTTTAACTTTCTCCTAAAATTCCCTCACTTAATACACAGTAATTACTTGCTAACTATTTAATGTCCTTAGTATAAGAAGGGTAAAATCTGGAGAAAAATATATCTATATGCATAGATTTCATAAAATAAGAGATAAAAAGAAAAAATAATTATGGTCAATGGCAAATAAATAGGAACAGAGGGAGCAACACTTCAGGGCCAATAAATAAAAATGTCAATCCAATGTTTATATACTTGTTTGGGCAATGGAAAGTTAGACGTCGAGAGAATAAAGATAAGGCGTACCTTTTCTCCTTGTTCAGCTCCATAACCACTATAACCCTCAAGAGTAGACAATGCATGGGCTCTCTATCAATGAGTAAAGCAAATGACAAGTCAATTAGGAAATCCCACTGTCCCTCAGTTTGCAAGTCAAGATAAAAAAAAGGATGACAAACTTCAGTAGCTGTCTGTCATAGAGAAGTCCTAGAAATCTCTAGATATGGGCTTTATGCCTGTGTAAATAAAAAAAAAAATCTCTTGAACTTAATGATAATTTTCCTTTAAAAACTCCATAACCAATTTTTTGTCAGTAACAAGAAGGAATAACAAATAGCAAGCACTGAAGGAGAATGATAGTTTGTAAGCAGTGCTTTTACTGAGTAAAGGCCAACATTGTTCAGGGCTGATGAATGTGAATGGCAAAAGAAGGCAATCCAATAGAGTCCTCCTGGGGCCCGGAAAATGATAGGGAAAGAAAATAGCTTTTATACAATTATACAGACTAAGAAATCTAAAAATACATAAATAATTAAAAACGTTAATCACATTTCATTTTATTTTTTATTTTCTAAGCTAAAACCAAAGATAAGAAAATAATTTCCCTAGACAATATCTTTCATTTGCCTAGAATTTTCAAAGTTCCAAATGTACCATATAAGTAACAAAAAGAGCATTATGGCTGATTGGGTTCAGACACAAGATTAAAGTACAAAACGCTACCTTTGCCATGGCAGATGTTATCACTTCAGGAATGGGCTCAGTAGTGTCTCCAATTCCAAGGCTTATAATTTGGGCATCAGGGTGCTTCAACATGTGTGCAGCTCTCCTTCTAGCAATCTAAGAAGAAGGAAACAACAACAACAAGTATGTTGATTAACTTGATTTCTCTTCATTCACATTCTACCATAGCATAGCAAAGCATATTAAGAAAAAAAATAGTAGCAAAGTGGGATGGAGGAAAGATAGATACGGACTTCAGGAAAGAGATAACCAGCTTGAAGTTTCCCCAAGTTTTCATTGCGGGAGACGTTGGTCTTGAAAGCTTCAGATAATGCAGGATACATAATTAGGAATGGTCAATTGTCTAAACAAACAATGTATAAATAGAAAGATGTGGCAAGACTCATACGCTAAAAACGCAAATATACACAATAGCACATTCCAGCCAAATTGCAACAAGCAAAGTTTGGATATGAGATCATACAATACATTCTTCATTCTTTTCTTTTCCAGGTGTATAGGAACTAAAAAAAGAATAACTTGCCAATTTTAAGTCTTACTATATATTCCCTCCATTGAAAAAAGTCATGTTTCAAGAACTGTCTTTTTATATCCCTCAAAAAAGAGAGTAGCTTTTTATAAACAAGACTCTTTTTCAGGACAGTGGGAGTTTTATGGGAACTGATGCCCAACTTAAGAACTGAGAAGGGCGAAATATATGACAATGTTTTAGTAATGGTCTAAATTATTGAAGGAGTTAAATAGTTAATGCCCAATTCACTCCCTTGGTCGTTGACTTTCATGAGGACTCAATTTGGTCCTTAATTATGTAATTTCAACTCAATTTAGTCCTGCACATTTCACTCTAATTACTAAGAGTAGTTTTGTCAAATAATGACTGAATTAAATCCAAAATTTATAGCCGAGTACAGTTTTGAGTCTTAAACTGTGTCTACATATTCTGAACTGACAAAAGGTGCCACACTAATTTGGAGCAAATATGTGTGAAGACTAAATGGCATAGATTGTTAACAATTGAGTCTTAAGTGAAAGCCTAAAGACAAATTGAGTACCAATATACAGTCAATGGGATAAACCAGATATTAGCTATTATTGGAACTACATGCTTTCTTTCATTTTTAATCATTACTGTGTATTGGGTAGCAATGTATACCAGTTTTCTCTGGTGTTGCAACACATCTCACAATCCCAGTAGTTGTCCGCACTAGAGACAATTGTTGAGCCCTGAAAGGAATTGAATTAGTGAGCTTTATCACTATAAAAATTTGCTCTTCAAGAAACTCATTCAACTGTCACAGAAATTAATTGATGAAACTCGATACTCATTACATAAATGAACAATGTATTCGAAATGAATACCTTAACTTGAGCTTGTTCTGGCCTAGGAAGGCAGATGATGAAGAAGCTACTGAAGGACAGAGATTAGGATGAATCGATGCCATTTCTCAAAGGGTAGAGAACAAAACTGCAATTTTCCGTCTTTGACCAATCCTGGACACAATAGAAAGTCGTAAGGCTTCATTTAAGGTAGAACAGTGTTTTTTATCAGGGTAAGAATGAAGTCCAAACGTGCATGACTGTCCACCGCGAAAGAAAGACAGAACATTTCCAACATAGAACTACAGACCCAAAACATAATGTAATAAACTATGTGAACAAACGTATAAAAATTGCAAGGGAAAAAAATAACAAAAAAAGAGCTCGATAGAAGAAAGAGATCAAAATAACATTGAAAGAATAGAAAAGTTTAATTTTTGGAAGACAAGCAGCAGAAGCAGGACATATAATAGGTCTAGATGATGGACGATGGGCTGAAAATTTTACTGGACGGAGTGGAGGCCTGAATTGCTTAGCACAGGTAGCATAAGAAGAACAGAGGAGGCAGACAGCGGATGAAATCCTCCCCCTATAAGCGTTAAGCAGTAGAATGGCAGTTCCTAGTTCCTGCTCCTAGAGAGGTAAAAATGGCAAGTTGAATAGGGATTTTGAGCATCAAAAATGTCAAAAGTATGTGTTTGGAAATATAATAGGTTTTTGAGAAGTAGTCTGATAGTCTCCGTCATTTGAAGTATTTAAAATATTTCTATACATTCAACCAAATATTTCCATCATTCGCAATGGAGCATACGACTCACTATTTTTTGACTTGGGAATATGATGGAATAAAGCAAAATGGCTCACTAAACTGTCTGCGCTTGTTTGTTATGAAGCAGCAGCCAACCTATGCAACTTTATACCCGATTTTCACTATGAATCATACGGAAACGGTCTCTTTGTACTTTAGGTACATCCGACCCCCTTACCCCCACCGTAGGTGGGAGCCTTTGCAGCACCGGGCTGAAGATGATGATGGTGGCATTCAACCAAATATTCTTATGTTTTATTCCCTAAGAGAATAGAAATTGTTTTAAAAATTAGATCCTAACATCCTTTAAACGAGGCACTACTACACAAGGTTTTTTGGATTAAATTAAATATAAATAAATTGGTTTAGGGATAGACCATTGTGACCGATTTGATGATATCCACACTCGCGTCCGAGGGAGTATAATGTTTAAGGATGTTTCACAAAATAATACGGAGTACAATGTTTAACCAATAATACAATGTTTTCCAGCCAAAAAAATAATAATACAATGTTTAATCGAGCAAAAAGGTCTAAAAGAGTATTAGAATTTAGAATATACCTGGAGCTGGAGGCAGAGCCGCAGATGGCAGAGTCGGACTTGGTCACTCAGAGCCGTAGAGGAAAGACGGCTGACGCAGGCCCTGGAGCGCGGACGGAGGGAGGCGTCGCAGCTGGTAGCCGCAAGTTGGCTGGTGTTGGTATCTCCGTCGTAGCTCCGCTACTCCCTCTTCGAGCTTCGAGCTTCGCAGTTCCGCTGCTTCCGAACTTCCGCCAGTTCGCACAAGGAGGCCGCAGGTTCGCTTGAGTGGAATAGTCTGGCACCATGCTTGGGCTAGGCTTGGGATTAATTTAGGGTGGGCTGGACTTTGGGCTATACCTATTGGGGTGGGCGTGGTCGGTTAACCGGGTTTCGGTTAACCAATTATCGGTTAACCGAGAGATCGGTTACAATATTTTTAATACCATAACTCGTACCGTAACTTCGATTAACCGTATAGCGTTTAACCGGAATTTTGGTTAACCAAAAATCGGATAACTAAAAAATCATAAAACCGTGACTGAGAAATAATAGACTTTCCAAATTTTCAAACATTTCATTTGTGGATCATCTTAGGAACTTCAATCAATATCGTCACTACACTATATATAGGTACGTAGAACGATCATTATCTTGCACATATTCAAACCATTGTACAATTAAATATACACACGCACATATCATGTTCTTTATATATTAAATAAGTCCAAACAAGAGAAAAATAGATTTTGAGAGTGGAATACAGGAAAAGATAAAATACACTTAATAAGAATACACATGTTCAATTGCTTCAAAAAAAGAATACACATGTTCAAGTCTCACGATGAATGGCCTAATTAATTAGGACTCGTAAAAGCTCTGACTAATTATTATTAACGTGAAATTAAAAATTCTATAATGACGAACAGGATTTTGTTTCTTCACAAGCTTATTAGAATTGATGTATCTATATGTGTTGGATACATATTTATCTTTCCAAGTTCTCTGAGAACGTGAAGTTCATGACCATGCATGAACATACCGGTTATTGGTTAACCGATCATAACATATATCTAAAACTGTAACCGTACCGCAAACCATTTTTCTCACGGTTGGTTAACCGTACCATGAATTTAAAAAATTGCGGTGCGGTTAACCGGAAAAATAGCTGTTTTTCGGTTTTAGCCGCGGTTATACGGCTACGGTTTTCTATGCCCACCCCTAATACCTATACGGCTATACAGCTATACTAATTACAAAAATGGGCCAGGCTGGTGCCCACCCCTGCCCTCACAATGGTCGGGCCCTCACATAAGCCATTCCGGTCAAAACTGGAATAACCATTACGATTGAGTAATTGGTGCGGGTGCAGAATAAACTAAATAATCATTTAATAATCGGTGTTATACATCTTTGCTCCATTGTCCACATTGGCCGTTTATTTCTAGTTATATTTTGATTTTGTTTCATTCTTATAATTCATTAACTTGTCTCACACCTAAGGGATAATATTTTTTACCTTTCCATCGAGTGTGAATGGATGTCCTTACTCCCTTCGTCTCTATTTAAAGGTGTCCTTTCTTTTTATACACAATTCAAGAAAGTGATATTGTTTGGCATTGTTTTGTTTACTAAATTAAGAAATAGAGCTTTTTTAGGAACGGTCCGAAAAGGAAAAGGGAACTTTTAAATAGGGACGGAGCAGTATAATATATAAAAGAAAGGACATCATTAAGAATCTTCCTCTTTGAGTATAATTAAGTCATTAATAAATCTGTCTCGTTACTACTACCTCCGTCCCTTAAAACTTTGTCAAGTTTAACCGGCACGGGAATTAATAAAGTAAAAACTGTGTGGTTGAGGTTTGTGCAGAGGAGAGAGGATTAACTGGAACCACAAATTCTTTGCTTAAAAGGGAAAGTGACAAAGTTAGTGGGACATCCAAAAAAAGAAAGTTGACAAAGTTTTAAGGAACAGATGGAGTATTAATTTAGGCTTCAATTAATGCATGCCGCTTTCTTCCTCATTTCCTAGTTAGCTTTTTTTCGTTTTAAACTCGTTTTAAATGTGTACCGTTTTTTTTTTGAACAAAAAAACACGTTTAAAACGAAAAATAATGTCGGTCCGTTTAAAAAGGAAAAAAACACCTACTTCCCGTATAAAACGTATTTTTCCCTTATTTTACTAAAAATAGAAACATGAATTGATCAATTGAATGAACGCATTAAATGCATATGAGATCAACAATAGTGTAAAACCAAAAGAGAAAAGCTCCTCTCCGTGACCCCATATTTTTGTATTGTTACAATACAATTATTAAATACTAAAATTAATTGCATGGCGGCTTAAGCTTGCATCCATTAATTTGAAAAAAATAAAAACATGAATTGATGAATTGAATGAACACATTAAATGAATATATAGGGGATCAACAATAATTTAAAAGAAAAAAACAAAAGCATTCTTAAAACTTAAAATTAATTGCATGGCGGCTAAAACTAGCATTCTTAATATTTTTTACCTTTCGATCGAGTGTGAATGGATGTCCTTACTACTCCCTTCGTCTCTATTTAAAGGTGTCCTTTCTTTTTATACACAATTCAAGAAAGTGATATTGTTTGGCATTGTTTTGTTTACTAAATAAAGAAAGAGAGCTTTTTTAGGAACGGTCCGAAAAGGAAACTGGAACTTTTAAATAGGGACGGAGCAGTATAATATATAAAAGAAAGGACATCATTAAGAATCTTCCTCTTTGAGTATAATTAAGTCATTAATAAATCTGTCTCGTTACTACGTATTAATTTAGGCTTCAATTAATGCATGCCGCTTTCTTCCTCATTTCCTAGTTAGCTTTTTTTCGTTTTAAACTCGTTTTAAATGTGTACCGTTTTTTTTTTTGAACAAAAAAACACGTTTAAAACGAAAAATAATGTCGATCCGTTTAAAAAGGAAAAAAACACCTACTTCCCGTATAAAACGTATTTTTCCCTTATTTTACTAAAAATAGAAACATGAATTGATCAATTGAATGAACGCATTAAATGCATATGAGATCAACAATAGTGTAAAACCAAAAGAGAAAAGATCCTCTTCGTGACCCCATATTTTTGTATTGTTACAATCAGTGGCGGAACCAGGACTCGTGACTCGCAGGGGCACAATAACAAAGAAATGATATACTAGTCTAGAAAAAAATCATATGCATCACGAGTATAGCAATAAACAAAACTATAAATTTTAAATAAAACCACTGTTTTTGGAATGATCTGTTGCACCTTTTCTCAAATAATGTCACCTCAACTCATCTCTAATATTAACATCATAAGTCTCAATCGACATAACTTTTCTGTCCAGCACTTTTCTGTCCGAACGCCGTCCGAACACCGGCGTTTGGGGCGGTTCCCGGCGGAATATTTTGATGAAAATTTTTTAGCATGTTCCTCATCAAGTCTAGTTTATCTATACCAAAGTTCAGCTTAAAATTCGATCGGGAAGGCAGTCAAATAATTCGTTGAAGTTAACTGCGCCAAATTATACATAGAAAAACGCAGTTAACTTCAACGAATTATTTGACTGCCTTCCCGGTCGAATTTTGACCTGAAATTTGGTATGGATAAACTAGACTTGATGAGGAACATGCTCAAAAAATTTCATCAAAACATTCTACCCGGAACCTCCCCAAACGGCGGTGTTCGGACGGCGTTCGGACCGGGAGGTGCTGGACCTGAGAATTTTCCAATATATATATATATATATATATATATATATATATATATAAATCACCGCAGGGGCACGGGCACCCCCTAGCCCTAGGATGGGTCCGCCCCTGGTTACAATACAATTATTAAATACTAAAATTAATTGCATGACGGCTTAAGCTTGCATCCATTAATTTGAAAAAAATAAAAACATGAATTGATGAATTGAATGAACACATTAAATGAATATATAGGGGATCAACAATAATTTAAAAGAAAAAAACAAAAGCTCTTCCATGCGACCTCATGTTTTTGTATTGATAAAATACAATTATTAAATATTAAAATTAATTGCATGGCGGCTACAATTAGCATTCTTAAAACTTAAAATACTAGAGTACTAGATTTCTGATGTTTTTCCAAACAAGCATGTCAAAATTAAATTTTTTCTAAACCTAACATTTTTTAGTATAAACTTTTACACATAAACAATAAGAAGCGCCCGTAGCAGTCACATATGTCATCTATCATTTTGATGAAAATGATGAATTTAAATTAAGTGTTATTTGATGATCTTATAAAGATAATCATTTTAACTTAGTTTCAATCTAGTTTTTTATGTCTTATTTGTTGACATTAGTTTAAAAAATAATGTCTTGAACCTAATTACTATTTTTTTTCTGTCATCGATTATGCAATTATGAATTATTCTTGTATGTAGTAATGAGATTTGCTACTTGAATATGTGTACTTTTATTTCTTTTTACTATATATGTTACTAGACGATGAACTCATACGTTGCACGGGAATACTCAATATACATTAAGATAAAAAGAGATTGATTGATTATTTTGTTACAAACTTATTCCACACTTGAAGTGTTATTAAATTGATCAATGATCATGTTATGAAAAAAGCATTACAATTTCTTACTTTAACAAAAAAAACTGATTAAACCACAAAAAAACCTTTTGAAAATTTAGAATAAGGGGAATTTAATTATACAAAATATTTTTTAAAAATAAATTGTTAATACATTAATAAAATAAAACATAGTGATAATAGAGCACGTGAATAGTGTAAAATTTCTAATGTTACAATTATTTAAGAGCGGAAATACTGCATATGGTCGTATGAATAGTAAATGACTTTTAAGTGCGTGTCTGGATGGGCCAAACATCTCCATTACAAAATATGCAAAATCATACTCCCTCCGTTCTTAAATATGAGTCCTCTTAGGCTTTGGCACGGGTTTTAAGAGGAAAATAATAGGGTAGTGTAAAAGGTGTATTGGGTTGTGGGTAAATAAAAAAGTAGGAAAGAGAAATAGGTAATGGTAATAAAAGTGGGGGTATAAAGGTATTTTGATTGAAAAAACTTACCAAAAATGGAAAGAGAGACAAATAATTAAAAACGTCCCAAAAAGTAATGTGAGACGGTTAATAAAGAACATAAGGAGTATTTAACTATTGTCTAAATAATCTTGACATTTTACAATATAAGAACCTTTCAACTCACGTAGGTAGTATATAATACTATTATAATATACTACTAATGATTATTTGGGTCCTACACATATGTATATAGAGCCAATTTGGTGACCTCTTTTTTCGGCTTATCAG